CCCTATTAAACACATTTTCACATTAATGATGTTGTCAGGAAGAATTAGAGCCAATAGGAGGAACCCTCAGAAAGAGGAAACAAGATAAAACAGAAGAAAAAAATAGCAAATAGTATGCTTTGATCTACATTCAAACTTCATAGTTCTTTCTTTGGATGTGGCTAGCATTTTCCATCATGAGACCTTTGGACATGTCTTAGATCATAAAGATAGATTTCTATATCCAATTGAGTGTGTATGTTATTCCATCCTTAAGCCAATTCTGATGGGAGTAAAGTTCAAGCATTGCCTGACACCCTTCATCTTCCCCTCCATTGTAATAGCTCTTTCACCCTTCGTTTATGAGATAATTTACCCCATTCTAGCTCCCCTTTCCCTCTTCTCCTAGTGCAATCTTCTTTCTCACTCCTTAATTTTGTTTTTTTGGACATCATCCCATCATAGTCAACTCACATCTGCACCTTCTGTCTATGTATATTTCTTCTTATTGCCCTTATAGTGATAAAGTTGTTAAGTTACAAATATCATCTTGCCATGTAGGAATATAGTTTTAACTTTATTGAATTTCTTGCTTTTTTTTGTTTACCTTTTTATGTTTTTCTTGAGTCTTGCGTTTGAAGATCAAATTTTTTATTCAGCTCTGGTCTTTTAATTATGAATACTTGAAAGTATTCTATTTCATTAAATATCCATTCCCCCTCCACCCCGAAGAATTATGCTCAGTTTTGCTGGGTGATTGTTGGTTGTAATCCTACCCCTTTTCTTTCCAAAATATACCATACCAAGCTCTCTGTTCCTTTAATGTAGAAGCTGTTAAATCCTGGGCAATCCTGACTGTGGCTCCACCACATCTGAATTGCTTCTTTCTGGCTTCTTGCAATATTTTCTCCTTGACCTGGGAGCTCTGGGATTTGGCTATGATATTCCTGGGAGTTTTCATTTTGGGATTTCCTTCAGGTGGTGATTGGTACATTCTTGCAATTTGTATTCGGCATGCTGGTTCTAGGATATCAGGGCAGTGTTCCTTGATAATTTCTTAAAATATGATGTCTAGGCTCTTGTTTTGATCATGGCTTTCAGGTAGTTTAATAATTCTTAAATTTTCTCTTAGATCTATTTTCCAGGTCAGTTGTTTTTCAATTCATATATTTCATATTTTCTTCTATTTTTTCATTCTTTTGAGTTTGTCTTACTGTTTCATGATGTCTCAGGGAGTCACTACCTTGCACTTGCCCAGTTGTATTTGTTAAAGAATTATTTTCTTCAGTGAGTTTTTATACCTCCTTTTCCATTTGGCCAGTTCTACTTTTTAAGGAGTTGCTTTCTTCAGTGAATTTTTGTACCTTCTTTTTCATTTTGTCAATTCTTTTTTTTGAGTTTTGGTGAATTTTTGTACATATTTTCCCTTTTTGTTGTTTCTTTTTACCAAGCTCTTGACTCTTTTTTTCATGATTCTCTTGCCATACTCTCATTTATTTTGCCAATTTTTCTTCTACTTCTCTTATTTGCTTTTTAAAATCCTTTTTGAGCTCTTTTTTTTTGGCTAGGCAATGGGGGTAAGTGACTTGCCCAGGGTCACACAGCTAGGAAGTGTTATGTGTCTGAGGCCAGATTTGAACTCAGGTCCTCCTGAATCCAGGGCTGGTGCTCTAATCCACTGCGACACCTAGCTGCCCCTGCTTTTTGAGCTCTTCCAGGAGTTATTTTTGGGCCTGAGACCAATTTACATTTTTTTTTTGGAGCCTTCACATGTAGCCATTTTGACTTGTTGTCCCTGTCTGAGTTTGTGGCATGATCCTCCTTCTCATCATAGTATCTTTCTTTAGTCAAGTTTTTTTTTGTTGTTTTTTGTTCACTTTTTTGCCCATTTTTTGACTTTGTACTTTCCTGTAAGAGTTGGGCTTTGCTCCTGCACTCTCCTAAGCTTCTTGTGCCAGGGCTCCGGACCTTGCCACTGGCTCACACTGGGCCTCGGGGCCTACCTGCTGTCTTGCATTGAAGAGAGGACTTCCCTGCTGGCTTTTACTGGAGCACAACTTCCCTGTTGGCCTATCCTGGGGGTTGGAGTCTTACTGCTGGCCTTCCCCAATGCTGGGGACCTCACTGCTGGCCTTCAGTTGGTGGGAGGGGGCCTCACTGCATACTTGGGGTATGGCCTCCCATCACTGCTCCTCAACTATGCTGTTCTCCCACCCCAGTGAGATAGACCTTTCTTTCTGAACCTCCAAGCTGTCCTGGGCTGGTTAGTTGTTTCCCTGCTCCTGAATTGGTTCTCAGGCATTTTTGAAGGTTGTTTTGGAGGGAAATTTGGGAGAGCTCTGGGGAGTTCCTGCCTCACTCCATCATCTTGGCACCAGAAGTTCTTCATTTCTGCATTTGAAAAGAATAACTTTCTTGTGCTTATGGGAAATTCTCCATTAGGGTCAGGAGGAAGAATTTTATTTCCCATATTATCATTTCATCATCTTTTGAAATTCTGGAACTACTCTGTCCCACTGGTAATGAAGATCAGCTCAGTTTCTTCTAGGTCTGTAGGAGCCCACTGTTTGGAAGGGCCAATCATCCTCTGTTCTATATAATCAACCTATGTGATTTAAGGCCATGTACGCAGTATTCTGCCATTTCCTTCTTTGGGCACAGAGGCTAGACACCTGACTACACTCATAACCTGTGCTAGCCATAAATGACAATACAAATTTCAAAATCCAGGACACTATGGAATGTCAAATATATTGCAAGTAACCTCAATCTGACTAGAAAGGCTACAGAGTTGAGGGACATTCTTAGGAAGAACCTGCCAGTTATATTTATATATTGCTACTGACTTTAGCTTTCCTGGGTCCCCTGGTCTATCATCAGAACCCTTACCCTAAATTCAGAATGCAGTAATAGTAATAAAATACATACAGAGGGGATAGAAGGATGGAATCCTGGGGCCTCAGGACATTATATCCCCTCATCTCAGTTAGTGCCCTTGCAAGAAAATAGAGAGAGGAAGTATGCCTAGTCCACGACTACTAGTAAGATGGCTTTTTAAATCTAGAGTGGCTGGTCAGACTGGAAAGGAATGAAAAAGTTCTGAGCTGTTTCAATTTAAGAGTAATCTAAGTCCTGTTGTGAAGACTATTGCCAAAAACCTACTCTGATTTTAATCACTGAATCTAGAAGGCCTAAATCCTAATCTTTGCTTTTTGTTGTTATTCACTCATGTTCAACTCTTTATGACCGTATTTGGGGTTTTCTTGGCAAAGTTGTTTGCCATTTCCATCTCATTTTACAAATGAGGAAGCTGAGGCAAATAGGGTTAAGTGACTTGCCTAGGGTCACACAGCCAGTAAATGTCTAAAGCTAGATTTGAACTCAGGAAGATGAGTCTTTCTGACTCCAGGCCTGGTACTTTATCCACTGTGCCACATAGCTGCCCCAAATCTGTTCTAGACTAAGGTATATTAAATCCTCACCATCGCACCACTACCTGATTTAAAGGAGACCCAATTATGTGATTGCTTTGCCCTTAGGCCTTAAGCTTATTGTGACCCAGAATGACAGCCTTGAAATTACAAAAAATCCTCAGCTGGCATAACTGGCTTGGCTAGTTCAGGTTCAGTAATCAGCACTCAACTTTCTCCCTTCTAATGACCTCATTTCACACATCCTGGAATAGCTGTTAACATTTCTGAACCTTAGGTTCTTCTATTTTCTTTTAATTTGTAGGAATTTCGCCTTCTCTAGTGGATCTTATTACTGTCACTTTTAACAGTATAAAACAAGGTAAGGGCAGGGACTAAGTCATACTTCTTTGTATCCCCTTCTTTAGTCCTTAGCAAAATGCTGTGTCACAGTTAGTATAGCATAATGAGGGGGAAAACACCATTAATCTTGAAACTGAGACCTAAATTTTGACTAGTTCTGTGATCTCTGGCCAGTTAACAGTAGTCAGGTATGAGGCCCCTGTTTCATTATCTGTAAAATGGGCATAATTGCAGTAATTTACTCACAGGGCTATTGTGAGCAAGATTTAAATCTTAGGGTACTCTACAAATAAAAGTTGTTTTTATTATGTACACACAAGCATCACATACTCTACTGGTTCTAGGGATGTTCATAGTTCTTCCTAATTATTTTCCACTTTTGTAAATTATTTCCTCTTGGAAGCTTTTGAATTCATATCTTTCTTTACTTCCTTAAGGGCTCCTTTAAACTTTTTTTTATTTTTAACATTTATTTTTTAAAAATTTTGAGTCCCAAATTCTTTCCCTCCCTCCCACCTCTCCCCCATCCATTGCAAAGGCAAACAACACATCAGTGATACATGTGAAATCATGTAAAATATATTTTCTTTTTAGCCATGCTGCCAAAAAAAGAAAGAAAAATGAATTGAATAAATTATACTTGCTATCCTTGGGATACAGATCGATACATCTGTACTACTAGATCAAAGGGTCTGCCCAGTTTTATAGCCATTTAGGCATAGTTCTAAATTGTTCTCCAGAATGGTTGGACCAATTAATAAGTCTACCAATAGGGCATTCATGTCCCTATTTTCCCACATCTCCTCCAGGATTTGGCATTTCTGATAAGTGTGAAGTGGCACCTCATAGTTTTAAATTGCATTTTGCAATGTGACTATTGATGCCTTTGATTTCTTGTTCTGAAAACTGTTCATATCCTTTGACCATTTATTAATTGGGGAATGGCTCTTATTTTTATAAATTTGGCTCAGTTCCCTATATATTTGAGAAATCAGCCCTTTATCAGAGAAATTTGCTGCAACAATTTTTTTCTGGACAATTCCTATTATCCATATTAGCTGACCTTTCAGCATCTTCTTGGATTTCTGGTTAGTATGTATTTCCTCTTTGGCTTTCTTCCACATTTGTTTCTCTTGTAATGCAGCATTTAAAGACTATAATCATAGGGTTCATTAACTGAGAAATAGATTTTCTTTTTCTTTTCTTGTTTTCAGAGACTGTGTTGTTTTTTTTGTTTTGTTTTTACAGCTGCTGTGGTTTTGTTCCTAAAGCATACTGACGCAGCCCACCAGGAAACCAAAAATGGAACTGGAGAAGATAGGAAGCCTCTTAGATTCCCTAAAGAAAATAAAGGAAAATTTGAATACAGACAAAAATTCTTGGCAAGAGAAGAGGAGAAAACACATGCAAATGGAAAGTGGTATGGGAGAACTTAGAAAGAAACTGGACTCAATGGCAAGTCGAATTGAAATGGTACAGCAAAGACTACTAGAGAGTAAAAAAATAATCAAAAAACGTGGCCAGAGTTTCACTGATGCAGCCCACCAAGAGACCGAAATTGGGCCTGTAGAAGATCAGAAAGACCTTAAACTCCCCAAAGACAATGTAGGAAGATCTAAATACAGAAAAATGCCAAAAGAACAAAGACTATTAGACAGTGAAGAAAGAGTCAAAGAACATGACCAGAGTTGGACTGATGAAGCCCACCAGGAGACCAAAAATGGACCTGGAGAAGACCAGGAAGGCCTTAGACTCCCCAAAAAGAATAAAGTAAGATCTGAAGACAGACAAAAGTTAGTAGAGCAAACAATAGCAGACAGTGAAAGCAGAGACAAAGAACATGACCAGAATTGGACTGATGAAGCCCACCAGGAGACCAAAAATGGACCTGGAGAAGACCAGGAAGGCCTTAGACTACTCAAAAAGAATAAAGTAAGATCTGAAGACAGACAAAAGTCAGTAGAGCAAACAATAGCAGACAGTGAAAGCAGACTCAAAGAACATGACCTGAATTGGACTGATGAAGCCCACCAGGAGACCAAAAATGGACTTGGAGAAGACCAGAAAGGCCTTAGACTCCCCAAAAAGAATAAAGTAAGATCTGAAGACAGACAAAAGTCAGTAGAGCAAACAATAGCAGACAGTGAAAGCAGACTCAAAGAACATGACCTGAATTGGACTGATGAAGCCCACCAGGAGACCAAAAATGGACCTGGAGAAGATCAGAAAGGTATTAGACTCCTCAAAGAGAATAATGGAAGATCTGAATACAGACAAAAAGCAGTAGAGGAAATAATAGCAGACAGTGAAATCAGAGTCAAAGAACATGACCAGAATTGGACAGATGAAGCCCACCAGAAGACCAAAAATGGACCGGGAGAAGAGTGGAAAAAGCTTAAACTCCTTAAAAAGAATGTAGGAAGATTTGGATACAGAACACAATTAGCAGAGCAAAGAAGACCAGACAGTAAAAGCAGAGTCAAAGATCATGATCAGAGTTTGTCTGACTTGAAAAGAAAAAAACCTAGAGACAAGGCAGTAGAAAATTTTGTTCTACAAGGCAGACAGATAATTTAGGATAATTGGTTTGCTAGCATACTGTGAAAAAGGAAAGGACTTGGACACCATACATACAGGGTGATCTTAAAACTGCACTAAGACTTTTGGGAGATATAGTAGTTCAAGAAATGAATGATCCAAGACCATTTCCTGAAGTTAGTAAGAACAAGTAGTACCTGCAAAAAGAATGGATTCACAGAATCCAATGGGGAGAAAGCTAAAATGACATCTCCAGGGAATATTATTATTAGAACTTCAAAGATATAGTGATAAAAGAAAAATCTTTAAGCCATAATAAAGAAAAAAAAATAAAGATTTAATACCCATGGGTCATATCTGGGGGTTTATGTGCAGAAATATTTTGACTGTCAGAAAAACTTATGCATATGAATTTGTGGTTTTCTTTGGCTGAAATTCTGTCACTGTTATTCATTCATTACAAGATTACTTGAACAAAATTCCTGGCCAAGAAGCAAAATCAGTGGGACATTTAGATAAACTTTACAGTCCCTAGCCCATAGGCCTATGTATTATATACAATTTAATGGAGTGCTGGGTGGGTTTGAGTAAGGATTGGGCACAGAGGAAGAGGTGTATAGGGAGAGTCTCAACTGGGGGTCCTGTCCAATGCAAAATTTATTTTGCAAATAACAAAAGGTAAAAGGTCTCTTCATGACATTTTCCTTGAGACTCAGAGCATCCAGCAAAATGTCCAGCCTTATAGATGACACTTTGTCTTTACTTCCTTCTCATTTTTACCCAGTTCTGGCTGCCAGCCTTTCTACATCATTATTCTAAAGTGTGACCACTTTAATAATATAAGAAATAATTTGGGCAGCTAGGTGGCACAGTGGATACAGCACCAGCCCTGGATTCAGGAGGACCTGAGTTCAAATCCAGCTGCAGACACACAACACTTACTAGCTGTGTGACCCTGAACAAGTCACTTAACTCCATTGCCTAGCCAAAAAAGAAAAACAAACAAACAAACAAAAAGAAATAATTTGTTGTATTTCTTAGTTTATATAGGCTTATCCTAAACTGGAACCAGAATATTTTTATCCTTTTTTTCTAGACAAAGTAATATGTAGTTTTTTAGACAAGCAGTATGTAAATCACAAGAGGTAGTGTGGTAGGAGGTAAAGAACACTGGCCCTTGAGTGAAAGGATATGGGTTCAAATTCTGATTCTAACTATTTAAGTGGCCCTGGGCCATTCATTCAATGTTTATGGACCTCAGTTTCTTCAACTACTGTTATTTATCCTTTGTGCTCAAAGAGGACCAAAATGATAACCTGATGTTGGGGTCAATGAACAGCATGTCTGACTGTGGCTGATCATACCAATATGAGCTTGGAAGGCTCTTCTACAAGTCAGGCACAAATAGTCAATATCAACATTGGGGAAGGAGATGTCTCTAAATTTGCACATCTCACATTTCTTTCGAGCTACTGCAACTCTGATTCACTCGTAGCACCTTCTTTGATGCAGACATGCCATGCTGGATGATCCTGTGGCAGTGTCTCTATATCTCACAATCAATACCAAAGTTCTTCAGAGAGACCTGAGGGTGTTTTTATATCTCTTCTTCTGACCACCATGTGAGCACCTGTCTTGTGTGAGTTCTCTGCAAAACTGTCTTTTAGGCAAATATACATTTGGCATTTGAACATGACCAGCCTATTGGAATTGCATTCATTGGACTAGAGTTTGAATGTGTGGCAATTCAGCCTGAGAAAATACCACAGCGTCCAGTACCTTATTTTGCCAGATGATCTTCAGAATCTTCTTAAGACAATTCAAATGGAAGTGGTTTAATTTTCTGGCATGGTGCTGGTAGACTGTCCAGGTTTCATAAGCATACTGTAATAAGGTCAGCACAATTGCTCTGTAGACCTATAGTTTGGCAGGCAGTTTAATACCTCTTCTCTCCCACACATTTTTTCAGAGCTCCCAAGCACTGAGCTAGCTATGGCAATCCATCATCTACGTGTACATCCCTGGAAAGCATGCTGCCAAGGTAAATGAACTTATCCACAGCATTCAGAATTTCTCCATTTGGTTCCATGTATGGATGGTGTGGTGCTGTTTAGTGAAGACCCTCTGTTTTCTTGGTGTCAGTTGTTATGCTAAAATTAGCACAAATAGTAGAGAATTGATCCACACTTTGTTGCATCTCATTCTTAGAGGCTGCATTGACTTCACAATCATCTGCAAACAAAAAAGTCACATACCAACTCTCCCTCCACTTTAGTTTTGGCTTATAGCCTTTTCAAATTAAATAATTTACCATCCATTGCAAAAGTTGACCTTGATGCCATTTTTGTCCTTGTTGAAGGTGTCTGAAAACATCGTGCTAAAAAGCATGGGAGCAAGCACACAACCTTCCTTCAAGACAGCTCAAATCCCACCTTCTCCAGGAGGGCTTTCCCAGTCTTTTCTACTGTTAAGAGTCTTCTCTGAGATCATTTTCCATCTACTGTGTATAAATCTTACATCTACATAGTTATTTTCAAGTTATCTCTTCCATTAGAATGTGAGCTCCTTGAGGGCAAGGATAGTATTTTTGCCTTTCTCTCTGGGCTCAGCACTTAACACAGTGCCTGGTACATAACAAGCATTTAAGTCTTTTTGATCTACAGACTTAGCAATAAGAAAAAGAAAGCACCAGGAATGAGAATGAGAGGAGAGGAAGAACAAAGAGGGAAGAAGACAGAAGCCTCAAAGAGGAACTTGAAGAGTATCAAGGAGGGGCATTTTATGGGGATGTGTTAGGAGGTTGAAGGAAGTCAAAATCTAGGACCTGTCTAATACAGGAAAGATGCCAGAGAGTCTTCCTCTTTCATTTCCTCCCCTTTCCATGCCTCTCCCTCTTTTATCATCCCACCTTTTTCTCTATCCTAGTTTTGATTCAATTTAGCAAACATTTAATCAATCAACAAGCATTTATTAAGTACCTACTCTGCACCAGGCACTAAGCCTGGGGATACAAAAAAGTTGTAAAAGACAGTTCTTTCCCTTAAGGAGCTTCCAATCAATGGGGGAGATAACATGCTAACAAATCTGTACAAAGCAAGCTATATACAGGGTAAAAGAGAAGTAATTAACAGAGGGAAGGCACTGGAAATAATGGACACACATATATCAGATTTTTTTAGCTCTGGTAATTAAAAAATAGGATACATAGAAAGGGAGGCAGGAAAGGAACATGCATTTATTAAGTGCCTACCATGTGCCAGACACTGTGCTAACTGCTTTACAAATATTTACAAATATCTTGTAGGTTCCAACTTGAATTTTTGGTAGTAATCGTCATGATGAATGCTAAGGACATTTTGATACACAAGAGAGAATCAATCAACATTTACTAAGCCCCTACTATATTCCAAACATTGTGCTGAACTCTGGGGATACAAAAAGAGGCAAAAGACAGTCTCTGCCCTCAAGGAGCTTACAATCTAATAGGGAGAGATAATGTGTCAATATGTACAAAGCAATCTATATACAGGATAAACAGGAGATACTTAACCAAAGGAAGGCACTAGAATTAAAAAGGATTGGAGAAGAAAAAGATGGGATTTTAGTTGGGACTTAGAGGAAGCTAGGGAGGAGATCAGTAGGTGGAGGGAGAACATTACAGGCCTGGAGGCAGCCAAAGAAAATTCCTGGAGCTGAGAGTTGGAGTATCTTGGTAGGATAGCCAGGAGGCCAGCGTTACTGGATTGAAGAGTATGTGCTGGGGAGTAAGGTAAACTGGAAAGGTAGGAGGGGGCAAGGTTATGAAGAGCTTTGAATGTCAAGCAGGGTATTTCATATTTGTTCCTGAAGGTGATTAGGAGTCACTGGAATTTATTGAGTAAAGAGGTAACATGAGTGGACCTCTTTTTTAGAAAAGTCACTTAAGTGGCTGAATGGATGATGGATTAGAGATTAGAGGCAGGAAGAACCACTATAAGGCTATTGCAATAATTCAGGCATGAGGTGATGAGGGCTTGCACCAAAGTGACAGTAGTGTCAGAGGAGAGAAGGGGGCATATTCAGGTGTAGAGGCTGAACTCCCAAGTTGGAATCCTGGCTACTGCCACATATGTGACTCTTTGGTAAATTTTTCTGGGCCTCATTTTCCTCATCTGCAAAATAAGAGGGTTGGACTGCATGGCCTTTGCTAACTCACCATCCACACATCATAGCCCCTAACTCTGGGTGTTCTACAAGTCTCTGTCCTGGGTCCTCTTATCTTCTCTCTTTATACTCAATCTTAGTGACCTCATCAGATGCCATGAGTTTAAATATAACCTGTATCCAGATGACTACCTCTCTCTCTCTCTCTCTCTCTCTCTCTCTCTCTACGTATACCTGTGTATCTATATATGCATATAGCTATATGACATATATATAAGACCTTATATTTAACTACTTCATACTTATTTGTATTCTCTTCATATTTATTTGATATATGCTTATATACACTTGTTTTCTCTCCCTTAGAATGTGAGCTCCTTGCAAGTAGGGATAATTTCATTCTTTGTGTATGTCTAGCATCTAGCATATATAGAAAGTGTTTAATAAAAATGTTTAATTAACTTTAAGGTCTCTCCCAGCTCTCAATCTATGATTCTAGGGTCCTTTGACAACATAAAGGGTTCTCTATGTTGTGATGTTAGGGGTAAGAGGAGATGAATGGGGGTGAATAGGATGAAAATAATGAATTTGTGGGATGTCTGAACTTTGCTTTTGTTTTCTCTTTCAAGGATAATAATCTTTGTATCAGCAAGACAGAACAAAAGTGGTTTGCAGGGATTAGAAATCCAGGACAAGTAAAACTGTCTAGAAGCATTTAACTTCCATGAAAGGAGGAACAGGACTACCTATGAATGAAATAGTACTATAAATAAGGTATTAAAAGAGCGGGCAGATGTGCTGATGAGCTGTTGTTCGTTTAGTCTGAAAGACCTTAGAGAGAAGAAGAGGTGTTTTAGGGCTAGAAAAGGGTAGATATTGGCCCAGTTTCCCAAAAAGGAAGAGGCTACCTGACTCTGTAGGTCAGAGGGCTTGACTTAAATGCCTAGAAAAATTCTACAATACATTACTAAGGAAATGGTTTGTGAGTCCTCAGAAAGGGAAGTACAGTAGTGATTACCAAAAGCCAACATATCACTTCATCAAGAATAAGTCATACCAGACTAATTAATTTCAGTTTATTTTTTTTTCAAAGTTAACTAGAGTGGTATGACCAAGGAAGTGCTGCAGTCATAGTAGATTTCTATTTCTATTGCTAGAACCAAAGCTCTGGGTTTACATAAGCCAGGTGCTATCTTAGA